AAATATGACACATTCATTTGGCTAACCTGAAGCTGAAACCAACTTTACAACCAAAGTGAAAAATCAGAAAGGGAAGATGAAAGAGGGGAGAAAAAAAAACACTGACAGCCGCTCCTGCACAGTCAGAGAGAGAAAAAAGAGCTGCTCAAACTTGAAACAAAAGCTCTACAGCCTACACCACTTGTAAAAAAAAAAAAAAAAAAAAAAACACAAACAAGGAGCTACAGGGGAACAGAAGACGAAGAAAGTTAAAAAAAACTCACGAAAGAAATGTTTGAATAGGTTAGCCATGTCCATTTTGGGCTCGCTGTCTCTCCCTCTCTCTGTCTCTCTCCCGGCCCCTGCTCTCTTCCCACTGCAGCTGTAGAGTTATTCCATGTGAACACCCAGAGAGCTGGGCGGATAGCGGAGCAGGGCAGCCCACTCTGTGAGCATGTGGTCAGGTTTAGCCAATGAGAGTGCGGGATAGAGAGGCCTCTGGTCCAGCTCTGGAAGGCAGAGTACAGAGGCCTCATGGAAAGGGGAAGAAGTAAGTAGGGAGGGAGAGAGGGAGGGAGAGAGGGAGGGAGGGGGGATTTAAGCTCACACTCAGAGAAAGAAAAAGAGATGAAAGAAGGGAGATACAGGGAAAGTGGAGGAGCTATTTTATCAACCTGGAGGCGCCGATTGGTTTTTCTAACAGGGTGGTGATCTGAAAAATATATTGAGAGAGGATCCGAGGGGACGCTGCGGCGGCTCAGTGAGTCACTGAGTGCTCAGTGTCACATGACTGCAGTTGTTTGCAGGAGACACACTCATAACTTTACAACAAACCCAGGAAACATGAGTCCACAAACACACACACACACTCTCCAAAACACAACCATCTGCAGACGGATCATACCCTCACACATTCTTTCAAATGATGACACCACTCCACACCCAGCAACTGGCTTGTTTAAAAAAGAAGAAGAAAAAAGACAGATACATTTTCCTCCCACATAACATATGAAAGTGTTGTCATCCGGCTGCTTCTCTTCTTCTTATCCCACTCATGCACAAGAAAAACACAACCACCCACAATCTTCCAGTTAAAAAACGTCTTAAATCTACTTATAGATCATAAAAAAGACAAATGAAGGTGAAGTATTTACAAGCTTTCTATGATTGTATGAGTGTTTAACGAGGCTCGGTTTCGCCTTTACTCGTGTTTTACATTAGTCTGTGTTTTATTGGGTTTATGTGTGAGTGTGGCCTGTGTGTGTGTGTGTGTGTGTGTGTGTGTGTGTGTGGTGCAGCTGTTCACCTGAGTGTTATTTGATCAATGGACGTAGTGACAGGTGGAGAGTTGTTGCCAGGTTGATGGCTGTGGTGCGTGACAAAACATACCCCTACCCAACAATGTACACAAATCCATACATAAATAAATCTGCACACTATTTGAGAAAAACAGATTTGTGTTTGGTATCTAGTGTCATCAAAGAAATGTTACTCCCCCATTTCTGATCCATCCTTAGCATAGTTAGCATGCATTGGCGCAGAGGGCTAATTTGGCTTGTTTACTACATTGTGTGAACGTCACTATCACACTGAATCAGGGCTGCCCCTTAATAGTCGACCAAATGTTAGCCAACTGGAAAGGTCATTAGTCCGCAAGATTTCATTGGTCGCTTAGTCGCAGAGAAAAAAACAACAACAAAAAAAAAAAACAACAACGTGAAACTCTATATGACTGGACCATGTGGGAATTTAAATTTGAAAGGACAGGAACAGGAAGTGGCCATGCTTAGCAGTCAGACAGGAGTTAATTTACAGGGCTGGTACCTGCGGTTATTCCACAGGCTAGTTAATAACATGTCAGGCAGGAAATCCAAAGTGTGGGATCATTTTGAGAACAGGGTTCCTACACATTTGGAATTTCAAAATTCCATACTTTTCCATACCCTAATTTCCAGACTTCTCGGTGTTTTTTTTTTTTTTTTCCTTTTTTTTCTTCAGAGAATATGCGACATCTGAGTAAATATATCAGTGTATCATATTTCACATCATATTTAATTATTCTTAATAAGCGATTGTAGCCAAGTACCATAATGGCATGCAAATAAAAACTCAGGTAAGTTCAATGTCTGGGCTGAGGCAAAAAGGTTGGGACTCTGGGTGCAAGCGATGCAGTAACGAGACGTCAGTGTTTTTTCCTTTCATGTGGCTCAGAATCACCTTCTCCCCCATGTTGGCGATGTCAAACGATTTCACACAAAGCTTGCATCAGGCTCTGTGTGTGAATTGGGAATCCTTGGCCAACCAGTATTTATATATGGTATTGTCAAGCCATCCATCCAAAAATTTGCATCTACCCATTGTGAACCACGTGAAACTCATCTTCTTGTCGAAGGTGCAGTGTTGGAGTGAAACTTGATACCTGGGGGGGCTGGAGGAGGGTCATGGGGCAGCGGACTGGACATACCACTTGTCAATCAGGTAAAAGGGGCGGTATGTTTTCTGAGACGTTTGCTCTCACACAAACTGTGCTTGGCCCGGCATAAAACACGATCCGGATTGATTAAATTACTTTTGGAAATACCTAATTTTCTATTTTAGAAAACAGTATTTTAGAACAGTGGTAATAGTCTGGAAACATAAATATTTTTCCACACTTTATTTTTCATTTTCCATACTTTTTAATACCTGGAAATTGATCAAATTTATTTCCATACTTTTCCATACTTTCCATACTTGCGTAGGAACCCTGTGAGAAGGTGAAGGATGAACCCAAGGTGATATGTAAACTCATCTTCATCTGAAACATGGAAGTAGCTACATGCCTATTAGCCACTTAGCACAATCATTACTGCTTTGCCGACACCTCAGTGTGTGACGTGCACTTGTAGATAAAATATAGGCCTATATTAATGAAGGTTCATTAGTACGGTTTTGTTTTTCTCTGTAATGTAGCACAGTGTTAACAATGTTACTGATACTATTCTGTCTCACACCTTCAACTCTAACCATTTTGTTGCCCCGGCCAAAATATATAATTTAATAATTACATTAATATTGTAAACATGTGGGCGACTAGTCGACTAATGGCCCTAAATGACGACTACTGGTCGACTAGGAAAATTCTTAGTCAGGGGCAGCCCTACCCTGAATATTCTGCTGATCTGTTCAAACTCTCAAACTCTCTATGGAAGAAAAGGAGCGAATAGTTGAATATTCCTATTGAGCAACCAAATGCAATTCCACTGACATAATTGTGTGTGAGTGTGGTACAGCCCAAGTCAGTGTTATAAGAAACGTGACTAAAAGCTGTAAATATAAAAAAAAACGTTGAGGTCTCTTCCTGTCCTTATATAATTTTTCATCTGAGTATTTCAGCACACAGCTCTGCCCGGATGTCAGCAGTCTCCTCTCACCACAACACTACATATAAAAACACACACACACACACACACACACACACACACACACACTGTGCAGCTAACAGGAAGACACAGTTCACATGTCCAACAGATAAGTTTTTCGCAAACACTGCATTGTGTGATACGCTTACAAAACGATGACACACTTCTGGTTAGAAGAACCCAGAACACCCCCATTCTTTCAGTACCTCTGTGCAGGGAAAAACTACTTTGAGGCCCAGGGCTTCCTCGCAGGAGGTCACCCTACGCAGGGGAAAGTCATCATCGCCACATCAAAAAGCAAAAGAGATAAGGCTACCTCTTTTGTCAGTCTCACAAGTGTGGTTTGATGTTATGTATTTGTCAAATGGGGCCATAAACAACAGGACCCAGCTGCGGTGTTGAGCTTCACGAAAATTAGAATGAAGTACATTACACTACAAAGTACTGTGTTAATATCACAACAAAACCACATTTTACTGTCAATAGTGTGCAGTTATTTTTGAGTGTGCCTTTAAGTCTCAGTGGCAAATGCTGGTGTTCAAACTTTAACTTTATCTAATTCCCAAACAAACATGGCTGAAGGACACCAACGAACATTGTTATCCCATCATGCTATTAACTGAGACAATGACGCCCCGCAGAGCCGAACACGTTGGAGATTAGAGTCTGAAAAGCAATAGAAACTAAAGACACACACGCAGGGGAAATGATCAAAATGCAAAATCACAGGCAAAACAAATACCAGGTCATCTGGCTGTGTTCCATACTGGATGCTAACAGTCAGAGTGTGTATCCCAAATTATCATGACTGTCTGTCATCAAGGAGAATTAAGCTAAGACAAATGGTAACCTTGGCTCACACACACAGTTACATTTGGCGTGCTCCTGGCAGTACAATGCCCTTGGCAAATGACAGTGCCCAGAAATATTGCTGCAGTGTTGACAGAGCAGACAACACCTGTGCCGCATCAATACTGGTCGTAATAAAAGCGCAGGAGATATTAGATTTGTCAACATAAACCAAAAGCATTTCATTTGTGTGCCACAGAAACTAAATCTCCTAATTTGTTTCTATCTAGATTTAACCTCCAAACAACCTCTGAAATCAAAGAATATACTGCTGCCTTACCTGTGTGGATGCTTCAAGGTAAAATGGAAAAACGTCACGTTGCATTAGACACTACACTGCAGACGCCTGTATCAGAAACTAAAGCCTCAGTCTAATTGCACTGTGAGAAGAAAGTAGCTGTCTGCATTTCCACCAATCAGCCTGAGACCATCTTCCTGTGGAGGGTGTTACAGAGTTAACGAGATACCACAACCATGTGGTCAAATACAAAACTTGAGGTAGCGCAGGCCTAGATATCTCATGTTGACTCCATATAGGCTGAACAACAATTACCAACTGTGTGAAACATAGAGCAGTCTCAATCAAAAAGGTGTCATGAGTATAAGAAGACAGAAAGTGCAAATACAGGTTAACTGGCATCTTGAGAGCTCCTCAAATTAAAATAAACAGACTTTTGGAAAGTGTAAACTTCAACATGAGTTCTGGCCGGTGCTTATCAAACTATCATTCAACACTTGCACACTGAAGAAACCATGATTGATTTGTTTTACCAAGTGTGTCTTTGAGATTCTTGACAATAGAAGCTTTCCTGGCACTGTTTTTCCTCTCCACGTAGTTGGACGGCACAAAGCCTGTTTTGTTGGTGGCATTTCGAACCCTCCACCAGGACTTGGAGTCGTCGAGGAGCCAGAGGCGCTCGTTTTTCTTGATGTCCAGTTCCTGGTCCTGCTGGGCCATGTAGTCGAACTTGGCGATGACAATCACCTCTTCCGTCATCTTGCACTCAGTACACTGGAGGAAAGAGAAAGGAGCGGACAGAGGAAAAGAAACGGATGTCAGATTGGCTTTGTCTCGTATAGCCAAACCTATGTCCACACTTCATTTTTGGGAGAGATCTGGCTGAACCCATTGTAATTCCAAACCAAGGGAAAAAACGCTCCTGATTGTTGGTATTTTTTTCTTTCTTTATTTCACTTGATAGGGACAATGCAGAGTATGAGACTGATGTGCTGCACATAAAGTTTACAGCTATTGCTACTTTCCAACTCTTATCCCTAGTTGGGCTTTTACATATAGAAAACCTAACATGAAATTTAACACGTAGAGTTTTAGACATCATAAAACCACAATACACTATAAACACGGAAGGCACAAAAAAACATATACCACAATCCACACACCAAGGCCTGCCCCCTTGATAGTCGACCAAATGTTAGTCGACCAGAAAAGTTATTAGTCAACAAAATGTCATTGGTCTGCCTGGTTCAACGCCTGGAAGAAGATCAGCTCTGCGCCCAGGATTTCAGGTAAATAGGCTATACAGCGCTTGTTAAGGTTGCTTAGCGCCCAACCTCACGTTTTCCAGACGGTTAAAGACGCAGCATGTATACGGCCCGTAATTTCCAGGGCTGGTACCTGCGGTTATTCCACAGGCTAGTTAATAACATGCCGGGCAGGAAATCCAAAGTGTGGGATCATTTTGAGAAGCTGAAGGACGAACCCAAGGTGATATGTAAACTCACCTTCATTGGTCGACTACAAACATGACGTATCATCTGAAACGTGGAAGTAGCTACATGCCCATTAGCCGACAGTGTCATCAACAGGCAGCTCGCTCAGTGTGTGACATGCACTTGCAGATAAAATATAGGCCTATATTAATGAAGGTTCATTAGTACGGTTTTGTGTTTCTCTGTAATGTAGCACAGTGTTAACAATGTTACTGATACTATTCTTTCTCACACCTTCAACTCAAACCATTGTGTTGCCCCGCCCAAAATATATCATATTATAATTAAATTAACATCGTAAACATGCAGGCGACTAATCGACTAATGGCCCTAAATGACGACTACTGGTCGACTAGGAAAATTCTTCGTCAGGGGCAGCCCTACAAATACCACAGTACATATACCACAAGACATCTACTGCAACAGACATGCCACAAACACCAATGCACTTACACTCATACTATTTCTTTAAACCAATCACAATCGTCTTGGGCAGCTCTAAGCCCAGGAAGCAGCAACAGTGCTCTTGCAAAATAGTGTCAGGAGGGAACTTGTTTTGGTGGAACATTTACACGTGGGGAGGTGAGCCTTAGCATTAAAATGTCCTTATCCAAGTAAAAGAAAACACCACATAAAATATTAAAAGATGTTTTAGTGTGTTAAATGCAAGCTCAGAGATTGTCGTTGTTTGACACAGTGCTAAAATAAAGTGTGGAGATCGGCCTGTTTCATATAGTGACAGGGATTTTGAAAATGGTAACAAAGATAGTGGAGGGCACTCTGAAATAGTCAGCCAATGCTACATGCTGTGAGTCAGAGTACAGGAGCTAGAATGAATGTTCTACATTACAGAACATTTTAATTACCTAATCAACAAACTACTTCTATTATACAGTAGAATCTGGGTCAGTGATGATGTTATGAGCAGCAGTGGCAGCAGTGATAAAGTTACCTCAATTTCTACCACCAGAATGATGACGATGAACACAAATGGCCCAGTTTCTCTTTTAGTAAAACAACACAGGGTTTGCCCACAGGAAGCTGGTAAGCAGAGGTGGTGAGCAATGCTGACTTTTTTTTCTTGTTCTTGTTGTGCAATTATGACAAGTTGACGTGTAGTTAATGCGGTAACCATTACTAGGAAATTTGCTAAACCTAATTTTCACAGAACTCCCCTTCAAATTATCAAGAGTATGTATCTCTATCTGCCCAGCCTTCATACACATTCTATTCTCCAACTGTGCCGTCTGCTCCAGACACAATGCTACGCTAAGAGACACACCAAAAGTAAATTTAGAAACTGTGTTTGGATATAGATAGTTGTACCTGTACTGCATCAAAGCTGAGAACTTCAAGGGCTCTGATACTTCTCTGTAGACCTAGGAAAAAAAAAAACAAAGTGCAGGAGAATTAAAAATAGACTCTTCTCAAAATCTGCCCACAGATTTCTTTAATAATATTCAAAACCTTGTATCTGTACCTCTGTTAAAGTGACTTAACCGCAGTCCATATAGCGCTTTATTTCTGCATATGTGTTATCCAAATATCCTACAGCTAGGCCTGACTCCTGAAGAAATGCCAGCTACCATTTCCACAGTTTAGTCTCCTCAGGCATAATTTCCCCAGACCAATTGTACTCTTGAAATAACAGATATAAATGACTATTCTTTTCAGTCTTCAACACTAACAGCTGCCAAAGAGTATAGAGCCAATCTCTGAGTATCCACATTCTTTATAAATTTACAGAGGGGATGATTTCCTCTCAGAAGCAGTCCAACTATTGTCTATTGTGTTCGGCATCAAGCATGAACCTGAGAGCCAGGACGATAGCAAAGATTACTGTAATTGGGAAGTGAAGAAGAGGGGCACTGTGCATCAGCGGTGTGGCTACGTCAGAGAGTGAAGCTCTCACTGAGCAGTAATGATGTAGGATATTGCTTTAAATTTAGCCCAGGCCAATAAATATTCCTACGTGTGCAGCCTATGCAAATGCTGTGATTATGTGAACCGCATTACAAGCATGGCTCCATTGTTTGCAATGTCGCTTATCACGAGAGCTTTCAAGTTGCCTTGGGCATTTTAAAATTATGATTTGGGAGTACTCTGATACACAATCAAAACTTGTTTGTGTTCAACAATGAGCACATTCACAACAGCCGGTCTTATGACCCATGTAGCCATCGGCACATCTATGCTAAGGTTAATACAGCAGCACTGGAGGAGTGAGGCACCATTGAAGTGGCTGCTTGGCTGCTCTGATGTCATGGGAGTGGATGGAGTTTCACCTTTCCCCCCCCGACTGACTTCAGGGACCAGACACTGACCTCATTGATCGAGGGCACTTGGTTTTTATTTGAAGCAGAAGTGTCTTGGTTTCAGCTGCAGCTGGCCTTGAGATAGGACCAGAACCTGATCTTAGGCAAACACACGGAGCCAAGCTAACTCTGAGCATGATTAGCCAAGGGGAGTAAAATAAACAGTAGGCTAAATAACCATAGGCTGAGAACTGAGAAGAGCTTTACTTATGCTTTTCTAGAGAAAAAGTCAAGATGCTGATCAGATGGTTCATCATTTAAGAAAACAACACAGTGGATGACAGTGCCAAATAGGGGTGCCGAACTCTGTACTTTCAAGGGTACTTACTGAATTACACTGGTACTTCTGAGTTCCGATTCACATTAAATCAATCGGTGCCACATTTCAGTAACTGTCTGAGAGCCCATCTTGTCGCAAGAATAATTTACAGCATAGAGAGAAAGAGAGAGATGAGACGACAAAATCTCTGCTGCTTATTCAAGTCACAGTGAGTCAGGACAATAGTGAGCTGAAAGTTGTCCCAAGTGTTGTGTACACTTCTCGAAACTCAACACAGACAACACTCGCTCAGAGACACACACTGCAGCGTTCTCAAGCTATCCCTGTATTATGTGGTGTCGGAATAATTGGAAATATTAGTTCCCCATTGTGAAAAATCACTTCCACACCCCCCTCAAGTTAAAACACCAACTAGGAAAGTCTGCAAAACTTTGGGTGCACGACTTGCGGAGTTGATCGTATTACGCAGAAACATGGCAAATGAAAAAACTTGTCTGGTTGATGTTAATTGACCTACTGCATATTAAATTTTGTTTACATGTAATTTGTAACATGGTGTTAGGTTGTTACTGTGAGTTGCTGTTCACATAGAGTGACCTTGATTAGTAAGAAAAGGTAAAGCAATATTTCAGTGGTTTAAGGGAATGTAGGCGACTGGTGCAGCAACAAATCTGGGAAATAAATTCCTTTGTAATATAAACTGTTTGACCATACTAGGATAGCAACATAAATCTTCACTGGGACATTAAGCGCTCTGAGCAATAAAATACAACACATCTTCCTTGTAGCATCTGTGTTGTTTCCACATTATGACTTAAAAACTCATGAACACACCAGAGTCAGAGAAAAATGACTTCACAACTTGAGTAACGGGGCCATCCACGGAGCATGTGAATGCATCATACGGCCTGGTGACAGACAGTGACATGCTGAAAGTTGTGGGGACGGGTTTGAGAGGGGAGAGGGAGGGTTTTTATTCTGTGTGGTTTGTAAAATGCTCTGAATAAATGTAGCCGAGCAGAGTTATGAGTTTCGCCTACACTGTACTCATGAAGGTAATAAAATAATAATATGGTAGCTCCGTAGTCTGAACCATGGCTGCAAACTCTTCATTGCCTCCAACGCCGTCAACAGCAGCACATTACAGCTTCACTCCCTCTGTTATTAGCTTCCACAATAAAAGGCCTAGACATATACACTGCATTACTGCTTAGTAAGAGGCCACACAACCAAGTATCTTACATTAAAAAAAAAAAAATTTTGAATTGAAAAGTTTGGATGTATTTTTTACAACTGAAATTAAATTTGCTATTACAGAGAGAGTAAAGTACTGAAAACTGTTAGTTCAAATGTGTACAGTACCCAACCCTAGCACCACATCTCATTTCCCCCTCTTCATTAGATGAAGGGTGGCTGTGTCATTTAAAGATCCCAAAGTGTCTCCACATTTCATATAACCAGTTTTAAAGGGGACACCTGTGGTCTGTTTTCCCCCCATGGGGTATGTTGTTGACTTCCCTTACCAAAAAACATTTGGGTGTACACTGGGTTTTATCTCATGGCATGTTATTGCCTGCTCCTTTTCCATGTCTAATTAAATTAATGAACACTGGGAGAAATGTTAGGGAGCGGCACACAAAAACAAAGAGCTGATTTACTCTCCTCGAGTGCTGCCTCTTTCACCAAGACAAAGGCAACAATCTCTCCACTCCCTGGGCTGGGCTGGATAACTGTCTGCCAAAGAGGCTGACAAGTGTGTATATGTGCTCCTTCTCCATTTACAATGTCCCTCCCTTACTATCTTTTTCCCCTCACTTTCTACTCTCCCTGCCAATGCATGAAAGACTCATCAATGTGGGACAAACCCCTTTCCCAGCTATCTCCCATTTTCACAAAGCACACTACATCCCAGTCTCACTCCTTTTAACTGCCGTCATCCCCCACGTCTAGGGTGGCGGTGCACTAAGTGCACACTGACACCGCAATGACTTACGATAGTGCAGATGTGAGGGTGGATCAAAAAGTTGGGCGACAGATGCTCTGAGCTAATCGCGCAGCTGCAGGCTGAGCCTAGGCCACTTGCCACTCAAGAGCACCAAACGTGAGGTCAGACAGGTCAAACTGCTCAAATGGTGTCATATCCACAGTGGATCTCCGTTTACCCTGCTGTCTGGCACAATTACCAGGTACCAATCCATCACCAAACCCACAGTGCACATAAATAAAAGCAAAGCTCTGCAAGTCCGACCAAAGTTTTCATCCATTTGTTTCAACTTTCATACTTCTCTTAAAAAAAACAGCATCTTGTCCTGTTTTCTGATCACAGACACAGATCATTGCAGGACCTAAGATGCAACAAGTGTGGGAATGTCTTTCTGCCATAAGGTCAATTTGATTACTGACAACAGCATCTGCAACTGATTGAGCAGATTTTTACAGCACATCATGCAGAAGAAGGAGAGTTATCCAAAAATCCAAGGTAAAGAGTTGATTTGGGAATCTGGAAAAGACTGCCCCAAATGTAGGCCAAATGATGTAATGAATCACACAGCTCACCGTCAAATAGCATATGACCTTTATAATGAGTAACTGGTTGTATAGATGTTTTGAACGAGCAAGACCAACACTGAAAATAACTTGGGTGCTAGACATGAAGCCAAAAAAAAAAAAAAAAGGATCTGTACGCACGAGCTCTGCGGTTGTCAACAAGGGCGACCACATGGAATGGTAGACAGGTGGTCAAATCTGGTGGCTAGTGGTAACTGCAGGGTTTTCCCAGCTAACTGTGGATACGTCTTCTTCTGCTATCCCTCCCTCTCAGTATGATAAACGGATGTGCTGACAGAAGGGCGCTAAAAGAATGTCCCTGCTGATATTTTGTTTTTCACTATGCAAAGTTGCATTTCCTGTCGCTCCTTAAAAATAATGAACAGTGGTTCAAAGCAGTTTGAAGCCACGGCAGCAGAATGTATTCAATTTGCATTAATGTTACCTTAACAGTAGCTGACTTCATTACAGCTCCCATAACACAGCAAATGAGTAGCCCACCTACTTAACTATGGAGGGGGAACACAGAAATTGGGCAACTTAATAGCAGTATATTTGATAGGGACTGCAAGTATATTGTCAGAAAACTATGACAAACACCCAAACTGACCTCTTCAAAATGCTTAATTTGTCACTCAAGAATCCAAAACATCAAATATTTTATTTACAATTATATAAATCAGGGAAAAACAGCAAGCCCTCACATTTGTGACCAATGTCATATGTTTAGCATATTCTGCTTTAAAAATGTTAATCAAAATCGTGATTTATTTTTAGTTTAAATGGACCTTCTATGCTCATTTACTTGTATTTGGGGTTTCTACGCAAACATGTTTACATGCTTTAATGTTCGAATTAGGGATGCATGCAATTAGTCACCCCCTCGCTAGTTGGCACCAGAAATATTAGTCAGTTAAACCAATTAGTGTTTTATTCATGTACAAGGCAACTTAACTGTCACGCAGCCTCCCACCACTAGTGGGGTCTACAGAGCCGTCAGACAGCAGTCCCCCTCCCCACGGCAATGCTCGAGTAGACTGGAGCTTTAAAACAGCACAGTGGGAAATTGGAGAGATGTCTTCTCGCAAAACCAGCGCAGTTTAAGTGAGTTGTTGTCAGATGATGTGCGGGTTTGCATTCATACTGCACAGCGCAAAATGCTTCTCATTTCAGCTGAAATTTAATTATAAATTACATGATGTTTCATTAACTTTAAAGTGAATTGCTATCATTTTTG